CTGGCGCCGCTGTGTCGCTGACAATAATGCAGAGGCCGACGGGACCCGCTATGCATGCACCGTCTGCCCCGTGTCCCGCCGCTGCACTCAGCTGTGATTCATCGCCATATATGGACATTGCCATATTTGGCCTGGGACAGGCCTGGGTGCCCGTTGACGCGTTTTTTCCTCGGCATGGCGCCGATCCTACCTTGTTAACCACTGTGCTCAATCATATATATTTAATTGCCCGGTCCGAGCACTATACCAGTTATTATTCGGTCGCTTTCCCAAGGGTGTTTTAAAATAATGTCCGAACGAAGTGAGGACATTATTTTATCGAAAATAGCGTCCGAACGGAGTGAGGATGCTATTTTCGAAAATTGCACGAATGAAATGAGTGCAATTTTCGCATTGAATGTGCGAGCCTGCGAGGCGAGCATATTCAATGAAAACACCCTTGAGGAAAAGCGACCGTATCATGGCTGGTATAGTATTCGGACCGGGTAATTAAATTTATTATAGTAAATTTTTTGGCACCTAGCACCAACGCATCTCTGAGAAAGGGTTCGCTTTTGGGCTTCGACATCAAGGAGGGGCACGGGAGAGGGGGGGGGGGCAGCAAATGGGTAAAGCTTTGGGCGTATAATGAAAATTATTGCCAATGGACTTTAACACACGATGGGCGAATAACGAAATTAATCTATAACTTGGTTTCAGTATACCTATACAAATGGTAAATTGCCTACCATGTCGTATTTTGCTTGAAATTCATCCCTCATTTCTCAGATATTTCCTGGTAAACATGCGAGACGCGTCTGTTACCTACTTTTATTAGACATTCATGCTACGAAGCGAGTGAGGAGTAGGCGTTGCGGAGACATGTTTTGTCTTCATTAGTGGGGAAATGTGATGTCGTTGCATTCCCTCCTCTTTCCTACGTTTTGAGTTTTGACATCCAATATCCATGAAGGTATGATAACAAACGTCGATCTTACTACAAACACTGGCTCCTGACAGTGCTGTTCTTCCCGTTTTGTAAGGTTCATCTTCAATTGCTCTTTTCACTGACTCTTGAGAACTAGGTGTACCTCGAAATCTGCCTTCTAAATTTCTGCGTAACCTGCTAAGCCATCTCTTTGAAATGCATACGAAAAGTCATTACATTAAGGCTGTGTTCTTTTCAAAATTCACCTGTCAACCTGTTTCGCAATTCATTTTATTCCAAGCTGCAAGCTTCTATCAAGATTACTAGATATGACCCAAGGCATATGACCGGACTTTTATTGAAGTTTCAGTCATCGAATGCATTGTTTAACAGGGAACTTTTGAAGAGAAGAAAACTGCCGTATAATGAAATTAACCGCCGTGTTTTTATGCATGGGTTTTGATAGGCATTTCCGAGTTTTGGCGTCGACTGAAATTAACCGTCTCTCGCGCTTCAGCCTTTCAGCAGGCCACCTTTATACAAAATTTAACTGAACTTTTTTAACATGCGTCGGTGGCAAAAATGTACTATAATGCTATTTATTGTAGCCTTTCGCCTGGCGTGAGGTTTCTGTAAACAGCATGTCACGAGGCCAGCTCTCCGGGCAGCCAGTACGGGTTTTGTTGATGGGTCGTGTCATGACCCGACTGCACCCTCCCCTCCCCTCGCTCCCCTCCCCCGCAGCCTCGCGGGGCCGGTGACCCGGCGCCGAAGCCTTTCACTTTCACGCGGCATTGCTGACCTAGTTGGAGGTCACCGACCCGACCTGGCCTTCAGCGTCGGCTGGCTGTCTGAGCCGCCGCTGCCGCCGCCGCTGCCCGCCACTGCCCGACGTATATATCTGCCGGGCCGGTAATTAACCCGACCCAGTCGCCGCCCGGGGGTGGGGAGGGGGCCGCGGGGTGGGAGAGGGGCCGGCACGACTGTCGCAGTCTCGTGCAGCGGTGCCGAGGTCAGCGCCGCCGTCATTCATCAGCGCACAGTGCCTCCCCGGGCAGACAGAGGCGGCATGGACAGAGGCAATGGCCGCATGCACCCTGCAGCTCGGGGAGGGTCCGCTAGAGCTGCAGTTTACGAGCACGGCGGCCCGACACCCGTGGCCTCGAGAATATGGAGCATTGTGCCGGCCCGTTGGGCTGCTGCAGCCAACATACCGAGTAGAAGGGACGCTGGGTAGAGGGGAGGGTAGTAGGGAGGGAGAGAGAACATGGGACCTCCGCGCTCGCTGATTAGTGTAACTAGACGGTGTATAATTAGCCAGATGAATTCCAGCGCGTCGGCTCGTTACACGAGATGCAGCGGTGGCCGCCGTTCGTCCCAGCTCGCTTCTCTCCGCCTGTTAGCGTGTCACGGTCCGCCCGACACGGGCCGTCACGCGGCGGGTTTTTCATGACCCTGTGACCCGTCACCGCAGGCTCTGACCTGACATGACCTCTGGCCTGGATCGAGTGGAGATGTCAGTGCACCCTGGCCGGGGATGAGCCTGTTCTCTCTGAACTCACTCAACCACACGCAAAAAGCGACATTCTGCAATGTCGCTAGACGCTATAACTGGCTGGTGGGCGACGGTAAGAAATTACAGATAAACGCTTAGGATGCACGTTATCAAATTTCAGTACGAAATACTGCCTAACCAGATTGGTAATAGGCCAAAGGAGGGTAATTTGAACTTTTAGGAATACTTCTCCACTGTAAACTGTTCCTATCGAACCACCCAAACGTTTCTATAATGATACTTGACCCTTTAATACTGATACCCTTTTTTAGAGTTACCTCACTGAACATTTTGACATGACACGTTGACAATGAGACACAAACCAATTCAAAAACAACATTGAGTCGGTACATTACCGAGAAGTGAAAGTTGCTCCGTCGACGCCTCTGGGCGTAGCGCTGAACCGGCAGCCACGGCCAAGGTCAAATGTCACCGCCGCCAACCCCTCACGCACTTGACCGATATCATCGCTACACGCTGTCACCATGCGACAAAATGTTTGTCATCACCGAGATCCAAACTAGGCCACAACACTTCTAAAAAAATGAAAAATGAAAAAAACGAGAATGAAAACTATTGCACCCCAAGGCTTGCACAACACACAACATAATTTCACCGCAGGCGCAGAGCTTTGTCACCCCTCCCCTCTGGACGCGTCGCCGTCAGCTGAGCTGCTGAACGCTGATTGGCTGATCCAGGTGATTCTCGCCACGGGCGATTCAATGCGATCGCTATGGGACGGGCCGCTGCTGACTGGCCCAACAATAGAATGCATTCGTATTTTATATTGATATTCACTGAACGGTAAATGTAATGGATTATTTATTGAAGCAATTGAAGAAAGGTTTTCGTGTGCTCCAAAATAGCGTCAGTCGTCTCGTCAGCTTTAAAAAGAATCGCTATTTATTTGTAGGTACCTATAGGTACTGGTAGACTGTTCGTAATGTCATTCCGACCGGCTGATACAAGGTCTCATCTTAGTAGTTATCTCTCCCTGTCAGCAGTTCTACATTTCACTCCAAACTACTTCATCTCCCACGTCTGTCCTCTCTCCACGCACCTGTTCTCCCTCCTCCCTCTCTCTCCTCCCTCCCTCTACCCAGTCGTAAGGCCGCCTCAGTCGGGGGCCCGCCAACTCGCAGTCCAGACACGCTCGTGCGTATGCGTAGGCATGAGAGCGGGGCGGTCGGCGTCGGCCCGTCCCGTTACCCGGTGGAATGCCGGGGTGCGGGCCCGGCCGGCCCGCGGCCACCGACCTCGTACAGGTGCGCCACTCTCATGGGGAGTTGCTGCCGGGAAAATCACGGACAAATGGAGACTAATCGTGGTAAAGTGGACCGGATTTATCAGCTAAAACGATTTATTCATTCGGCTTTAGGTGCACAGTTATTGCAGAGTGAGAGGCATTGTAGTGTTAAGTTGCATCGTTGCATCATTGCGTTACATCGTTCAACTTTTATCGTCCCATCTACTTGACCATATTTCAGCGGAACTCCGTCCTATGTCCCTTGATGCTACAAAAACGCAGTCACTGTCGCAACTATAGCGACCATGCGATGAAAAGATGTCGAAACACCCTGCGTCTGCAACGCCATGATATGAGCTGATACGTGCCTGATGCCTAGTCCTATCCGGCCGCCTCAGCTCACCTCTCACCTCTCACCCATTCTCACCTCACCTCACATCAGCTCCAGGCCTAAGCCGCGCCGCACGTCGCGCAAAAACCCCTAGACAGCTACTTTCTCCTCCCCTAGGCTCATTCCTATGCGTCGGACACGACTCATAAAAGGCCCATACAGGGACATTTGCCGTCGCCGCGCCGCGGGGGACGACTTTTCGCCGACGAGCCTCGATGGTTGATGCTGAGAGCTCGCTCGGGTTTAAGCCCCACTGAAATTCCTGGCTCACACTCTGGCGTCAGCGGCGCGGCCTACTAATTAAAAACGCACCCCCGCTGCCTGGTAATGGTGGCGTTGTTTGTCTTCACACCTCCTCTGGGGAGAGGCGCCGGGCGCGATGGTAATGTCGGGAGGGGCGCCCGTCCGCCGCTGCTGGAACTGGAGCGAGAAGTCTGCATGGCGGGGGCGGCGGCCGGCCACTGTGCAGGCCGGAAACCGCTGCGGCATTCCATGGCAGGCCCGTGTGACGATGGCGTTGGGGGAGCCGCTCGGCTGAGTGGCAGTCGGCCACATCATGCCGCTAACGGCTTTTGTTAGGTTATTTATTAGCAAAACATGTGGCGCTGGGTACAGATGTGACGACTGACGAGTTGCAAGCGTTACGAATATAAAATATTAAACTCACAATGGCTTAAACGCTTAGCAATCCATTTCGTTTCAAAAGATTGAAATAGTTCCAGTTATCTATTTTGCTATTGACCCCGTGTCGTGTAATTGACCGTGCTGAAATGTGACCGAACACAATGAGGGAAAGTGTGCAACTTGCCGGTCTTCATCTGTCGACCACATCCCTCTCGCAGCCCATGACCCTTCCATGTGACCCGTTTACTAACAGTATCCCCATCTGTGTGTGTTTCAGGCGAGAAGCCGTACCGGTGCTCGTGGGAGGGCTGTGAGTGGAGGTTCGCCAGGTCCGACGAGCTCACCCGACACTACCGCAAGCACACGGGCGCCAAGCCGTTCAAGTGTGAGAGCTGCGAGCGGTGTTTCTCTCGGTCCGATCACCTGGCGCTGCACATGAAGCGCCACCAGGCCGAGCTATGATAGCGCCGGCCGCCAGCCGCCGCCGCCGAGCCGTCAGGGACAACACTGCCACAGCGTCATTCCAGAGCGCCGCGCCGGCCGCCCTCCTCCCACCTCCCGGCTCCCCTCTGCAGAGGGGCAGAGGGGACGGGGAGAGGAGAGAGCGCCGAGCCGGACACTCGCGTGCCGCCCGCCCGACGCGCCACAAGATAAATCGCCGATCGGTTCGGAGGCTCTGTTTATGAAATTTGTGACCGCCAGTGCCGCTCGCTGAGCCGCGGCTCCGCGGAGCGATTTCGTCCGGTAGCAGCACGCCGATAGCGCCGACACGCGAGGCCGCACCGGTGACGGCCCACGGCAGGCTGTCGGCCCGTCACCCGGACCCGCTGTCGGCAGCGGCGCGGCTCCGCGACACACTCCGTTCAGTTGGCGCCGGCCCCGCCGCTTCTCCGCCTGCCAACGCGACCGTCACCGGCCGCAAACAGGACTGCATCGCTTCCGACTATTTTTTGGTGTTCTTACTGTCCCTGTGACGCTAAACGCATCTCGCCGGTGATTCTGTCCCAATCAGAGCCTTCGAGTTCCGCCGCGTGGCGCGGAGCGGGCACCGAGGACGGAGTCGAGAGTCCACTGCTCGTGGCTCGCGCGGTGAGCGGGGGACCGGCCGACAGCCGCCCCCGGAACAGACTCGACGGCGTGGGGTGTCCACAGTTCAAAGCTAACAAAGCTTTAATGGCGCGCGGCGGCGAGAAGACGATGGTGCGAGACGAGAGAGCGACGAAGTGCAAACCTGTCCACCGCGCGGAGCGTGATCCGGCGGTGGCGGGACGAATCTGTGATGAGCGACGCGCCGTGTCGGTGTGTCGGCTCCCGGAGATGGCCGACCATCTCCGCGGCGCGCACCTATGTGTCTCTGAGTGTGAGTGTGTGACCGCGAGAGACAGCGCCGCGCGCGAGTAGACTGGCGTAGAGCGGACACGGTCCGCCGCTGTGTCCGGTTTGTATGCGTTGTTTTGTTGTTTGGTCCGAGCGCGCAGTGGGTGAACTCTTTTGGTCGCCGTTTTGTTTTTCGCCGTCTTCGAGAAAACGAGAAATTGTCAGACTCGTCTTCGCTGTGACTCAATCAAAATAACCACTCGTACACCGAAAGCTTCCTTCAAATTATAGAGTATATCCAACTTTTCAGCCCCGATTGTAAGGTGCTTCTTACAAACGATATGGCGGTCGAGTTTCTAAGGTGCGCGCTCTTTATATAAATGAAATTGTGACCGAGTTGATCTTTATGCGCGTGATATGTGGTTAGCGATAACGAATTCCTTGGTCGTCAATGATGGTTGAGAAAGATGCGTCTGCTAACTCAAAGTGCGTGTTCGTCATTCGAATTTTGTTTACGATGAAATGCAGGCCTTTACGGCTGGGAGCTTTAGGTTTATAGCTAACCGTGATGTGAGACTTTGTCACCGCACCATTCAGCCATCGGACGTACATTGTGAGTAGTTGACCAGACATCAACCATCGTGTTCATGAATCATGCATCTTGTCTCACGCGTGTGACTATAATGGTGCGTCCGACTGTCTGAGCTGCCTGTGTGCGTGCGACTCCGACACTGCTTACTGGGATAAACGTCAACCGGCCCTGGCCGGTCTAGGGCCGGTCTATGGCGGCCCCAGATCGGCGCAGGGCCCGTGCCGCCCATCCGCCTGCTCCGCCTCTGGTCTCTCCGTCTCTCTGTCTCACTTGTCGGTCGGCTCGGATCTCAGACTGTTCAGTCCGCCGCGGAAGGGTGCCGTGGCGCACGTGCATTGCTCTCGGCTGTCCAGAGAATGGTCTCTGTTTTCCGACGGTTCTTCTGTCTCTGCTTCTGGTGACGCCTCCTGTATACTGAGTGCGAACGAGTCATAAAGAGGGCAGCGAAACGAACGGTGTGTTTGGGGCTGGAGAATGGTGGATTTCGGAAAACGCTGGCATAGATGAGGATCGAACCAGTGACCATTTTGATGTAGATCTGAAGCCCCCATACATTTTTAGGCACACAAACAAAGGCGTACGTAAATAGGGTCACATGAGGACTGAGTAGGGCACACGTAGAACAGCCATTAAATCTAACATTCGAGGAATATGAGACGTAGCGGTCAGCGGAGCAGACATGACACTAAGCACGTACTTAAACGTTCCGCAAAACATTACCGGTGTTTCACAACAAAACGGTCATCGAAAGTTATAGTCCCGTAATCTTGAATTGAACCGTTCTAACGAAGAAATTAGGCACTGAATATCGCAGCCCGCAGGAGAGGTAAAACTTCCAACGCATTGCGATCGTAGGGAATTCGCACCGTGTTTACACAGATGAAAACAGGAATAACACTGTATTGAAATAACAGGCCTCTGCCATGATGCACGCTATGGTTCTCGCGAACAACACATCAAACATAACATAACATATATTTCCATGCAACAACAGGCCACATGGGCCCAACAAGGTTACATGCACATGTAAATCAATGCACATCAACTCACATGAATCAGACATATCTCACATACATCGATAAACAATCTCCTTTCACTACATTTCATAAATATCCCGACACGAATAAAGAAGAAGAAAAAAAGAAAAAAAAAGTTTTAGATTTCATTTCAAGTGTCAAAAACCAGACCACTTGAAATGAAATCTAAAACTTTTTTTCTTTTTTTCTTCTTCTTTATTCGTGTCGGGATATTTATTAACCCTCGCCCATGTAGGGGGGGGTTGGTGCAACCCCCCCCCCCCTGAGGTTTTTCGGAAATAGTGCAAAAACGGCGGCGCGCAGCGCCGCCAAATTTTGGGTACCTTATGGAGCAAACCTTGCGCATCTTTTGATAAAAAAAAAATTGACCGGGTCATGTCAGGTCACGGAGTTATGACGTCACAAAGGGAACAGCCTCCGGCCGGATTTTCACAAACTGAGTGCCAACGCCCGAGGTTTCCTGCCGGTGGTACGGACATCGGTTGATGGATCGTGATGAAACTTCCCATGCATGTTGGGGCAAGTATTGGCTATCATATGGTATAAGAAACTTGACCGGGTCAGGTCAGGTCACGGGGCTATGACGTCACAAGAGGAACAGCGTCCGGTACTATTTTTGAAAAGCGCCCGAACCACTATTTTGCTAATTCTTGTCACCTCAATGGGAATATGCAGCAATATTAGCTTCTATAGGGAGCGAATGGACATCCCAAATCCAAAAATACAATCAGATTTCAAAAATTTAAATTTTGATTTTTCGAATTTCTGCCGCCGACTGTGACCTTGCCGACTTCCGGCGCTCCCAACGCGCCATTTTTAGAGCTAGGGAAACGAAATACATACCAAGCGATAGAGAATTGATCAAGGAACACGATAGTGAAGGTTTTAAGTCGATATCTCCCACCGTTTTGCCGCAATCGCCGCGGAAAATTTGAAAAAGTCTATTGTTCCGAAAATTTGACCTTTGACCGGTCAAAAGTAGGTCAAATGTTGACCTAGGACCAAAAAATATACCACCAATCTCGAGATCTCGGCGAGAGCAATCCGTTGGTTTTTTCTGCTAAGCTCTACGACGCTCCGTTTTCAAACGCCAAGGGGGGGTCGCACCAACCCCCCCCCCCCTGCATGGGCGAAGGTGGCAGATCGCCGTTTACGGGCGAGGGTTAACACATCAGTTTATTAACACATTATTAACACATCAGTTAGGTACGGGATTCCTCTAGAGTCTAAGCTGACAACATGATTCGTGTAAGTCAACTGACAATACAATTTAAGCCGTACCTACTGATGCATTTTTACGTTCACTTTTGTTTGAATATGCATAACTGCACAACTGGAATGCGCAAATACCACACCATCTAGGCACCACTCTACGCAGTTGATATAGTGAAAAGCAAACAATAACATTTGGCATCAGCAGCATAACTGTGGAGCCGACACGTGCCTCATATTATGTAGGGGAAGGATGGTGAATTGCGCCACCTTAAGGAAAAACGCTAATTGCAAGAAAACCGCTGGAGATATAAGCATGCACTGGTAACCATTTCAAAGAGGAGCTCATTGGCTACGATTTAAGAGCCTCCCGATCAACTAAGAATGTTTCGTTTGCTTCTGACAGCTGCTTTTTCAGAAACATGCAAAAGGGCGCATTTGCCAACAACTGCTGTAAATTGCGCCAGGGGGATGGCGCAATTAGAGCCCAATTGCGCCCTATACTTTAACCCTCGCCCGTAAATGGCGATCTGCCACCTTCGCCCATGCAGGGGGGGGGGTTGGTGCGACCCCCCCCTTGGCGTTTGAAAACGGAGCGTCGTAGAGCTTAGCGGAAAAGACCAACGGATTGCTCTCGCCGAGATCTCGCGATTGGTGGTATATTTTTTGGTCCTAGGTCAACATTTGACCTACTTTTGACCGGTCAAAGGTCAAATTTTCGGAAAAATAGACTTTTTTCAACTTTTCGCGGCGATTGCGGCAAAACGGTGGGAGATATCGACTTGAAATCTTGACTATCGTGTTCCTTGATCAATTCTCTATCGTTTGGTATGTATTTCGTTTCCCTAGCTCTAAAAATGGCGCGTTGGGAGCGCCGGAAGTCGGCAAGGTCACAGTCGGCGGCAGAAATTCGAAAAATCAAAATTTAAATTTTTGAAATCTGATTGTATTTTTGGATTTGGGAGGTCCATTTGCTCCCTATAGAAGCTAATATTGCTGCATACTCCCATTGAGGTAACAAGAATTAGCAAAATAGTGGTTCGGGCGCTTTTCAAAAATAGTACCGGACGCTGTTCCTCTTGTGACGTCATAGCTCCGTGACCTGACCTGACCCGGTCAAGTTTCTTATACCATATGATAGCCAATACTTGCCCCAACATGCATGGGAAGTTTCATCACGATCCATCAACCGATGTCCGTACCACCGGCAGGAAACCTCGGGCGTTGGCACTCAGTTTGTGAAAATCCGGCCGGAGGCTGTTCCCTTTGTGACGTCATAACTCCGTGACCTGACATGACCCGGTCAAATTTTTTTTTTTATCAAAAGATGCGTAAGGTTTGCTCCATAAGGTACCCAAAATTTGACGGCGCTGCGCGCCGCCGTTTTTGCACTATTTCCGAAAAGCCTCAGGGGGGGGGGGTTGCACCAACCCCCCCCCCCCTACATGGGCGAGGGTTAACATGGCTAAGTGAATGAGACGGAATGCATACACCCGGGCAGTCTAATGTCTGTGCGGCTTACTTAAACATTTATAATGTTATTCAGGCTGGATGAATAATTAATGTAGATATAAATTGCGATGTTTTTTGCCCAGGACCAGAGGTAGATAACTTTACATGTGTCCGTACGCTTGTAAAAGTGCAACGAAAACGTTTACTGTAACCGACTAGATATATGTGAACGTATGCGCCTATACAGTTAAATTTTCAATCGGTTCTCTCAAAACTAATAAATTTTATCGTTTTGACAACTTAATGACATCAGTTTTTACTTTTTTATCATAGCTGTCTCTTCTCACGCCTGAGTCCATGTTGAAAATGTCGTATTTTGTCAATTACACCAAAAGTCGTGGCCTAAATGGAAGCTGCATTATAAGTTTGACGATAGAGATAATTTGCGGACTGACGACAGCGGGCTGCTCCCTTGCCTGACATTAAACTCCTTCTTTATTGCAATCAGTTAATGATGCATTCATACTGTCGTGATACAATGGCTACACCATTATTCTATTTGCGCCCCCCTGGCGCAATTGCCATGGGCGCAATTAAAATTGAGGTACTTTTTAATAAAAGCATAGAAGTTATCATAAAGATGTTGCAGGAAGTTTACGGTTTCAGTGATATACAATGAAAAATGGGTTTTTCTTTCTAAATATCACTCTGAAAAATCACACAAATATCGTAAATTTTTATAGCCAACGGTTCAAAATACTGCAAAAAAGTTAAGAAAACGCCATACCATCTTTGATGGCGTAATGAGCCTTGCTGATTGGCTTCATCGGAGTGTTTGGGCCATAAAATGAACAATCCAGTGGTAAAAATAATGTTTTCGAACACAAAATTCTAAACATGCCATTGAATCCGTGGGAATGTAGGTGGGCGCAATTGGTTAGGAGGGCGTAATACACCCACTTTCCCCTATACGTTCTCAAGACAGACTGTGCATTATTTGCGAGCAATCTGATCGAGACAGCTCAGGAATGCATTATGTGGTTTCGCACATGCTGTGTGGTAGGTATTTCTGGTGTGTGTTTTTTTTCGCGGAAGCGCCAGTAGCCAGTAGTTTTTGTATCATACATGTCATCTGATTGCCGCATACTCTTCACGTGCCACCGCGACAGTGATGCAAATGGGGTTCACGAGTGGCCATAAATACGAAAAAGGCCCAAAATTCAAGTTCACTTAATCGAATAAATCGTAATATGGTCAGTCAGGCAAATGTTTGGGGTGTCTGAAAAAGTATGATTTTAATGTTTTTGTCAAAACCGGCCTCGTGTATGATTGTCAGAAGTCGAGACATTTTCGATGTCGTAAAATGACTGTCAGATACTTGAAATTCAAGTGCCGCTAGCGTGCGCTCAGGTCATACAAACTGCAAAAATTATACATGAAAATGATCCCCGAAACCTGCTGCTTCTAATGCCATGTCATAGAAAGCCGTATCTATTTTGGTTTGGCGGTGAGCTAACTATTTGTAATCATGTTGCAACCGCAGTTTTTTACCAAAAATATTTGCTTTCAATTCACCTACAGCACTTCACACAGTGTGTGCCCGTTAGTGCACCATATCATAGCATTTCCTAATCATTTCTGAGTCGCATAGTGAAAGAATCAAGGCGCTAGCACAGGGCTGACCGGCGCTACAGAAGTTTTTGTCCGGCACGGTCGGGTGCCGCGGCGCAGCGGGCGGCCTGGGCGGCCGCG